TTAGACACCTCGTATGTTCCTAATTTGTATCAAACAAGTCTTTGATAAAGGAAGGAAGGTATAATTCCAAAAAAATGTACCAAGACTTTTCCATGAGGGATTTCTGGCGATGATGAAGTATTTATTCAAAAGCAAATGCAGACCTGATGAAGATTGAAATAAGAACTGAAAGGAGATAGACACACCAGTTAGGGTACGTTGGAACTGGAATTGGTAGTGACGGAGATGGTACAGAGTGACAAATTTTACAGCTGATGGATTAGTTTGTTACAGTTTGAGAACTAGATCAGATATATCTTGATAGCTGAGACATCAAACGCATGTTCCATTTAGATCAAGTTCTTTGAATTTAATTTCATGTCCTCCAGATGCTGTCTAGCGTCAAGGACCCAGGTGAGGAAAGTAAAGTGCAGCTGCTGTACCAAGCAAGATTAACTATTTTTAAAATTATAGCTAATAAGTAACAACTACGTTAGTTACTTGAAATAAGCGTGCACTTCGAGGTTAGACAGATGAATGCATGGGAGAGCTCAGACGAGAGTAATTTTTTAACCAGGAAATTAGCTAGAGTAATTTACTCGGCCATGCAGTGAAAGTAGACTTTCATGGTGAGCAATGAGGGGAAGAAAAAAGAACAAAAACGTACAAACCTGAAGCTCTTTTAAATGCGTTGTTTACTCGTGTGACAAATCAACTTCCCCAGAAGGATAGATACCACAATGGTTAATCACCGAACATTCAAAACTTGAACTTGGACTTCTGGAGAAGTCAAACTAATGTGGCAGATGGGTCAAAGGAATAGCCTTAAAGTAGCTGAAGGACTGGTGGACGTCCTCCTGTGACCCGAGAAAGATAAAGGGAACAGTCGTCCGTAATCGAAGCAGACATCAACATTCAGAACTTCAAAAATGAAGAGAAGAAAATTGAAGGTACAATAACATCTATAACTCTCACGTGGAAACAGAATAGTCATACCCAAGATCATCTTTAATAGCTTTACTTTGTCAATATAGACAACATTCAATCATCAAAATCATAAATTTCTTCATATTCCATAGCCACATATTACAGAGACCTTGCAAGAGACAAAGCACATATATAGAAGAAAGAAAGAAAAAGAAAAAAAATAGCACCTGAGCAATAACAGCCGCAAAAGACATTCCAAGAGGAAACCCGATCGCAGCCACATCGCCCCTATTGCGGCGAACCAGGACTCTAGGGTTTCGCCGTTGACATGCAACCGCAATACCCCTTTGCGATGAAACCGCAGAAGAAAAATAACGACTTGATGACGAAGATGGTGATTCAGAATTATCTAATGCCACACTCTTCTTTAAAGTTCTCTTCTTGCATCTATTACTGTGTTTAAGCTCGCTGTCGATGGGTCCTAGGGGATAATTCTGGACCATGGGATGCGAGCAATGGCTGTTGGAGTCAGCGACGACGATGCCCTCACCGTCTCTGTGATAGGTGTGGGGTTGCAGAGAGGAAGAAGAGGAAAGAGTATCCATGAGACAAAAGTCAAGGGGTTAGAAAAAACGAAAGCCAAAATTCTAATGTCACCACTTATAGAAAACGTACGAGGCCGGAAATGAAAGAGCGGGTGCGCTGCAATGAAAACCTTCCTTGTCCTTGCTACGGAAATTCCAAGTCCATGCTTGATGCTTACTGAGTTCCCGGCGGGAAAAATAGGCGATTCTTGCCTTCAAGTCTTCAATTCCATCCCTCTCAGACATATTTTTCTCGAAATTTGAATTTTTTTTACTTCTATTATATATATATACACACATATATATTAATATACTTTCTCACACCATCGCAAAATGTAGGCCATTATTAAGTCACTTTTAGAATCGAAGCTTGAGGTTGACATGGTTCCTTGACAGACGCCTTAATGCATCCTCGTATTGCGCCACATCCCTACGTATCATATCCTATAAATCATGTATAGACTAAACTAAAAGATTACTACTATGAATAGAAGGAAAATGAAAATGAAATCATCTTTCATATTGCGCCACATCTCTACAGATCATCTTTAAAAGGAAAAAAACTCAAAATAAATTGGAAGGACAATGAGAGACATTCAAGGTTTTAGAAGACGAAAAATACAAAAATTTTGGGCAATGTTCTGAGGCATAGCAACTAACGCAGATGAGCATAGGAAAGTGAACTAACAAGTAGAGAGCATACACACGCACACTTAAGTCTTGTTAAATATTTAAGTATTTCTTTCACCATTTATAACTCAGAATGAAGGGTACTAGTTGCTTTGCATTTTCAAAGTTCATAAATCATTACATTGGCGCTAACAATCTCTTACGCAAATTTAAAGCATATGCATTTGATCCTACAAATTTGGTTTTTGTTTTCACAACACGGTCAGAGCTCGGCAAAATGAACTACGTGGCAGTATAACCTTTTTCTTTTTCTCTTTGCCCAAACCAGAAATAACTTCCAGCAACAATCTCGACAGGGTTGTTCTTCGCTAAAGATCAATCATGACCAGTGATGTCAACAAATATTCAAGGCAAGGGAAAAACAATTACTTGTTCATCCACTATCCAATGGCTATCGAGGGCCAAACATAACCCTCCCCTTTTATTTAAGTTTGGAGCTGGCTATAAATCTTTCTTATCCAAAGACTAGGCTGCTAATGGAGCACCATAACGTTATCCAATTTATGTAATTGACCTCATTCAATGCGATAAGACTTATTGTTGTTGTCATTGTTATTTATCCACTGTGCGCTAATAACTTTAAATGCTTGACCAATGATAGTGGACATTATCCTTCTGTGATGGCTTCAATTCCATTCAAGTTCAGAAATCTCCTCTGAATGAGTCCATATCCTTCTTTTACAATGCAAGGTCAAAACATCTAACACATCATATACATACAAGGCTTGAGGGTGATCTCTATCTCCAACTGTGAACATACTAGATTTTCCATTCACTTGAACTATGCTTTGTCCTGGAGACTTTTTCACGTTAAGATGTTTCATCTTCCTCCTCACAGCAGCAACTCCATCCCAAATTTCAGCAGAAGCATATGTGTTAGCCATCTCCACATAAGGAACAGCCCGCTGAGCATCCATTTCGCAGAGCTGTTCAAACACATACTGGGCCATTGCCGGATTACGATGAAGCTTGCAAGCACCGAGCAATGCACTCCAAATTCCAGCATCAGGTTCAAAAGGCATGGTCTTGATAATTTCCAGAGCTTCCTTCAGTTGTCCTCTACGACCGAGAAGATCAACCATACATGAATAGTGATCTATACCAGGGGATATGCCATAGTTGTGAGTCATCAAAGTGAAGCATTCCAATCCTTCATCAAGTAAACCTCCATGTGCACAAGCTTGAAGAATGGCAAGAAATGATATGTGATTTGGTTTCATTCCCATGTCCACCATCACAGCAAAAAAATCCAGAGCCTCATTAACATTTCCATTTAGAGCACAAGCAGTAATCATAGTTGTCCAGGAGACCAAAGTTTTGTCAGTCAAGTTATGAAAAACCTCTCGAGCATCATCGATACTTCCACATTTGGCATACATGTCAATTAGTGCATTACAAACCACAACATTATCTTTCAATCCCTTGGAAATGGAATAAGCGTGAGTCCATCTTCCAAGGTCTAGAGCTCCTGTTCGGCCGCAACCTGAGATCAAAGCAAGCACAGTGACAAGATCGGGTTTTTCACCAGTTGCTTCCATTTTATAGAACAAGGCCAATCCTTCATCCATATATCCTTTCTCAATGTACCCATTGATCATAGCAGTCCATGAAACACAAGTTCTGTAAGACATGGCATCAAACAAAAATCTTGCAGAATGAATGTCTCCACACTTGGAATACATAGAAATAAGTGTGTTAACAACACATATGTCGGAATCACAGCCTAACTTGATGGCATGAGAATGAATCAACATACCTTGAAGAAGTGCTTTGGGATGCACAGAAGATGAAAGCAAATTGAGAATGGTGCTAATATCTGGAGAAAACCCACCATCTAGCATCCTTCTGTAACAACTTAGAGCCTCGTCATGTTTTTCAAAATTTGAATATGCCGCAATCATGGAATTCCAGGAGACAACAGACCTTAAACCAATATCAGTTTCATCAAACATTGTCTCTGCTGAGACCAAGTCATCACATTTAGCATATGCAGCAATCAAAGTATTAGCCACTGACACATCAATTAGAGTTCCAATCCGAATTCCAAAAGAATGAATAGCACCAACAAATCTAGGATTTTTCGTAGTCAAAACAGCATGACTCAGAGCCAAAACAGTTATGGAGTCAGGTTGAGCTCCAGAAACCCTCATCTGATGCAGAAGACAAGAAACCTGTTCAAGGAAACCCGCCTGAGCAAAACCCAACAATACAACATTCCAAGAAGCGACATCCCTCATGGGCATTTCAACAAAGACATTGTATGCGTCTTCAAGTTGGTGGCATTTAATGTACATGTCAACCATTGCAGTTTGCACAAAAACATTTGATTGAAACCATGATTTCATGGCAAGGGCATGGATGATTTGGGATTGTTTGGTATCTAAGAGTCTGGCGCAAGCTTTGGCTATAAAGGGGAACGTGGAATTGTTGGGTTGGACACCCTTTTGCTTCATCTGACGGAAAAGAAAAAGGGCCTTCTCCGCATGGCCTTGGTTCACAGCTTCCCTTATGTAGGAGTTCCACTGACAAAGGGTATAGAAATTGCAGAAATGTTTCAGGCATGCCGTAACAGAGAATCTGACTCTGACCATTTCTCATTGTTGTGCATATAGAATATCTTGAAGACAAGACTAACTCAAGCCTCTTATAGGCTGCTTAGAGCAAGTTCGAACTTGCTGGTTATAGTGTCAAATATGATAATTCAGTTTTCCAATGCAGAAATGGCAATTATCTCCATTAGATTGGGCACACAATAAGGATGAACTAGAATCATCCCTGTACTATGGGGTATTTAGTAATGGAACGAAAAGTAATATACTCCAAATTTCTTTTCAAAAGTTCAGCTTGCTTCAAATTTCCCAAATTGCAAAAGTCTGTAAATGGCCATAATCTTTCTTGTGAATCCAAGGTACCATTCCCTTTTCAAGTTGCTCATCTATCCAGTTACTCTCGTATCCATAATTGCATCCAATGGAGGCGCATCAGCAAAAATCCAGATATGGTGAAGAACATCACCCAACATTATCTGAAGTTTTCAAACTGTAAAACACAAATTTAAAATGATACGCATAAAAAAAAGACAAACTTCCATCATAGCCAAACATTATAATAAAGCAACAAATTTCAACATGCATATCCCTTCCAGTAAGCAAACTCGACCACAGCTGAACAAAAAGCAATGGATTTATCACACAGCACGTGTCACAAGTAAGCAAACTCCATCACATCCAAACAAAAAGAAATGAAAATAAAATACAGAATAGCAAAGGGATAGATCGATTTTAGAATCTTCAACAATGTTAATGAATGAAGCAAAATGAGCAAAGTAATATAACAAGTTGAATCACTAACACTTCTTTCCTGCCAAAATAAAATGGTTATTCAAGTGCTGAAGAAAAATCACTCACTTGCATTATCTCTCAGCTTAAATTTAGCTACGTAACAATCTAGTCTCACTAGTCATGTGTTCAATTTATTAACTTGCAACCAATAACAGAGGAATAAAAGCAAAGAATTACATGTCATTGTTTAACCTAATGAGACAGAAAAGGAAGAGCTAAAAACATGCTAGCATCTCATATGGCTTTTATAAAATAAACTCAAATTGGAAAGAGTTACTTTAAAGCATGCAAAGGAAATATTAGTGTACAAAACACAGAATCTAAGACTTACTTTAAACAATATGGTGCAATCAAAGCCAACTATTAAGAGTGGAAGAAATAAGAAACTAATAACTATCACACTGCTAAATCTCTTCATGTAAACTGATGCTATTAAAAAAAATGAAAACTTTCAGTCACCATAAAAAATAAATGTTGGCATGTAGCATAACGCTATGTATCATAAATTTACAATGATATTGAGAATATAAGATTAGGTTATAGATTTGACTATGAAAATGTACTGCAACCATCTACTATGCGAAAAGCAGGATTTTTTGAAGTAAATCTATATGATACTCCAAACATAGAGTAGAGCAGTATCCTTTCAAATTCCCATAAGCCATATGGGAACAATTTTTTATTTTTCTTTTACATAACTGAAAATTTGAAATCTGTTATTTGAACAATGGAAAAGGTTAAAAAATTTAGAAATAAGAAAGGATAAATATTAAAGTAGGATTTCAAAACATTAAAAAAATTAAAATGTGAAAGTTTAAAACATCTTACAATTTGTAAATCATGAAAAACTCTCAAGAAGAGACAATCAATTTGTTTAGCGTGTGGCTGAAGGAATATCTGATGAGTAGTGCGTGGTAAAGGCTCATAAAGCATCCCCCTACTCTGGCACATCCCGAAAAACTGTTCCCATTCAGTTACCTGACATTCAGGCTAACATTCAAAAAGCAAGAAGGTTTCAAATCTATTTATCAACTCAAATTTCAAACCATTGGTACAAATTTAAATATAAATGATAACCTATGAAATTGAATATACATTTCAAAAGGTACAAAATTGCATATAACATGGATAGCAACAAAATATAGAAGAAGATATAAAAAACCAAAATATAGAAGAGGAGTAACAAATTAAATGTGAAAAAAAATTAGAAAACCATTTGGTCTGCGTGAGTTTGATAGGAGAAAAAATAGGGCATTGAAAAGGTCAAAACTGCACATTCAACGAAAATTTAATGAAGAAGATTACCTGAGAAAAAAATAATTGCATCTCTTCATCCACTCCAAGTCCGATGTTTCTCCTTGAAATAGGAAAGCAGAATGCCAATGAATCAAGAACAATAAGCATGATATTTTTAAAAGAGAACTAGAAATTATATCAACAATCAGTGTGGGAGAATGAGAAGCTAAGAATAAAGGCTGGGACAATGACATATGGTCCATTGCTGGTTAAGAAAAATTAAAATCCAATCATTTTATAAAATTCAAATTCAACCAGTTTATTTTTACACAACGAATTTCAATTCTTTTTACACAACACCATTTTCCATCCCTTAAATAACCACTATGATTTCAACAGTCCCGTGATGCATGAAATTGCGTTCAGCAAGGTTTTGAAATATTCTCTATCAATTGGCTACCAACATCTTGGTTAGGATATGCTTTTGTGGCAAGATGTGCTCTTAACCCCTATCTTGGTTAAAAAACGTTTCGTTTCATAATGAAATTAGCAAGGGTTCCATAAAGCTGTCTTCTATACAACATTTAAGCCATTTTTCAATCTGCCAGAATCATCTTTTCCGTCAAAACAATTATTAAATTGAGTTTTATCAATATGAAGAAGAACAAAACTAATGAACTAACCATCAATTTCACGAAATAGGGGGAAAAAAAAAGTACCATTAGGAAGGAAGCATCTTCCTCTGATTTTCCAATGATGTCCACTAGACCCATCCTTTCACCTTAAATCCAATCATCTGAACAGTAATTATTTACTGCACAAACATAAACATCGAGAGAGCAAATAAGGGAAAAAAAATTTGAAACAGAGCAATTTCAGATGAAATGAGAAGAAAATAAGACATGGTGATGGAGGCTTCAACTCGAAATAAAAAATGAGAAAAGCTGATTTAAGAAAAGCAAATAAGGGAAAAAATTTGAAACAGAGCAATTTGAGGTGAAATGAGAAGAAAATAAGACATGGAGGCTTCAATTCGAAATCAAAAATGAGAAAAACTGATTTAAAAAACGCAAATGATGCAAGATTTCCAGTCGAAGGGGAAAAAATCTATGTTCCACTAGCAAGTTAAACTTCAAAAGCTTGTGCTCATCGAAGTTTGAATTCTTTGGGTGATAAGTTGCACAATCTTCAAGAGGCTTTTGTAATGATAAAAAGGAAAAGAAAAAGAGAGCAAATGACAACAATAGGCGTAAAAATTTGGGATCGAAGCAAATGAAAGAAATTTGTAACAGTAAACCAATCACATATCAAGAAAACAGTTAACTGACTACCTGGAAATGAAACCCCCAAATGTGATACATTACATACAATTCCATTTTACTTAAAAGATTGGTCATTTGAATAAGCCGCATAATGTTATACAGCACACTGAATTGAAGGAAACGTCCAAGCTCAAAAAAACAGAGGCTCATATTGCAGGAAGCATTCAAGTTAAAAAATAGATCTTGATTCAGCAAACATTTAAGTTGCTAAAGCGACTAAAAAAGAATAGAAGATAAGTTAAAATCAGATTCCACTTCTAACTCTCGATGTGAATGACAATGTTAAAGAAAATAATAAAGAATTCTGAGTTTGGTAGCTGTCAAGTGATACAATCAAAACTGTTATCACAAACATGGCGCCCATTTTTGCGCCTGCATGTCACTGAATTATATGCAATCAATGAACATCCCACACGGTATCTTGAAGCTTCCACATTCTTCATTCATTTTTCACTATGGGTCTCACACTCACTTTTTTCACCATGGACCTTCCAATTTTCCAACTTCTTAGAGAAGATTTAAAGATTAAAGATTAACAATAAGCAAAAACATCGAGTAGAGAATATCAAACAGAGCACGGATAAGGCTTAACTCAACAAACCGAACGAACACATGGAACAACAGGGAAGATCAAATAAGGACCGTCGCTTACCTCCGTCGCCGTGGGCGCGTGCGATTGTCGTCTCATAATGCCGCTTGGCCCGTGCCGGTGTCTCGCCCTTGGTGTGTCAAGGGCTTGAGATTGACTTGCTTGAGCCACATGAAAATGAAATGGGCTTCCCCTATCCAGTAGCCCAAAATCATTAAACGGGCCATCTGATGCGATCTGCCTTCTTTGCTTGCAGTCTCACTCTTACAAACTCCAATAATCAACAGTCGTCTTCATTCTGTAAGCTCTGGCTTCAATTCTTTCTTGAAGGCTCACTTTTTGCGTCGAAACCAGTGCGCCTGCACTGTTTTTACTTCTTGGCTACGGAATTGAATAGAATTCACGTTATTTGTATTGACTTCAATACTTTAAACGAGTTCTTTCACTTTAATCCGCTAGTGAAGTGGTTAATTTTCTCCTCCTAATCGATAATATCTTTCCCGCTAATTTTTGTTCAAAGCTTTAATTTATGCGTCCAGCGCCTTCTTCCAGCCTCTCTCCATCTGTGAGCTCGGCCGTTGGCGCAATAGTTTTGTCGGGTTCCGTATCTACAAAATGAAAGAACATTTCAACAAGTACGATTCTCTCTCATGATCAATGGTTTAAAACTTGTTTTTCGATTTGATTCTTGCTTCAAATATGTTTTTGTTTTCGATGAATCTTCCTAGGCTGTTTAAACTAGCAGCGAGGGCCTTCTACGATGATCTGACAAGCAAAGGAGATAATCAGCCTAAAACGGGTAGGAGTGATAACAGAGGCATTGCTGTAGTGGTGCTCGATGCACTCACGAGGTTCGGCCTTTGTTATTGTCTCTGTGTTTATCTGCTTTTAATGCTGTGCGTTCTGTTTCCTTTGTGAAAATAGTACAGCAGCGAGTATGCCTATGATTTTTTTTTTTTTTAAGGATAAAAGCAAACAAAATAAAATAACAGGATGTGAAAAGTGAACCTAAATCAACTGAAATGAAACGATAACAACAAACTGGAGGAGTGGCAGTGTTTGTGTGGGCCAATGCTGGTATATTTTCTAGGATCATTGGATAGCGGACAGCTTGTTTGGTTTGCTAAATATCAAATAAAGGTCTTAGTCTTTGTTGGGTGTTGAATCTTTGGTGCATTACTGCATTTTGGGTTGGCAGTGAATTACAGAACACAATATTGGTTGAACTTTGACTTATGTAGCTAAAGGATAGAAGGCATGTTCTTGGTCCTTTGGTTAAGTGTGTTGATCTTTTTCTCCAGACGACAATGGGTTAGAGAAGAAGACTTGGCAAAGGACCTTAAATTGCACACAAAACAACTTCGTCGTACTCTGCGGTTTTTTGAAGAGGAGAAGTTCATTACTCGGGATCATAGAAAAGAGGTATCATCTTGCTTGATAGATAAGATTCTGAGTCTATGCACACCATTGCTATTTTATTTTCCATCACCGTCAGCGATTTTAAATTCCAATACATGTTTAGATATCATAGGTTCTTTTTTTTTTTTGCATGTCTAGCCATGTTGTTTATTCATCTCCGTGTCTTAATATGATTATATTTTTCTTTTGTAACAAGTAATCTACACTGATCAGGTTCCTATATTGCAGAGTCAATTTTCAATAGCTTATTTTAAAGTACAGCATATCGTTTCATTGCTTAGATTTTCAGCTGAAGACTAATGAGTGACAAGTATAATTTATTATTTTATTAATCTTTAGAAAAGCTGTAAGGATACTACAGAAGGCCATATATAAGGGAAAAGCTTTAGACCAATAGTTTGCTATTCTCTTTTCAGCGTTAATTTCATATTCATCTTGAACATTCCCTACATCAAAATATGAAGGCATAGACTAGGCAGGACTAATTTAGATAATAAGTATCGAGAACAGAGCAATAAGTCTCTATCAACAGTGTGGTCAAAGGATCCAGCCATCTGACTTTATGCTAAAATATTAATTTATGAGGAATAGGACATTAAGGATCCAACTCCTTGTCAATTGTGGGCTTTGGTAATCGACCACTTCATCCTGGAAGAATAAGCTATTAAGTGAATGCCCTTGAACCATGAATGATTTTATTAATATACCTAAAACAACTCAAGTTACCATTCTTTTGTGCACCGTTAACACCCACCAAAGTCACACACAATTGTTAACTTATAATAGTATCAACAATCTAGATTCTTATCCTCATCCTATAGCATTCCAGTTTTTTTTATCAATTTTCAGGCAGCTGAAATTTCTACCAATCTCTGTGAAGTCTATGAAATGCCTATTATTTGTTGCTTATCCATTCATTCGATCTCTTTGTTCCTGTCGTCAGACATGATGGACCCAGTCACATCACACAGATGCATCTATTCTTTTCTAATTCATTTGATTCACTATGCAGTTGTTTGTCTTGCTTGAATTGCTCTTCTGCTGGATGTAGTTGGCCATCTTACTCATTGGTCTGCTTATTAGACATTTTAGATCTTGAAGAATAACTAGGTTTGTTAAGCTTTGAAGAAAAACTAGTTTCTCTTCGTTATCTGCTAGAATTCTTTCTTTTTATTCCAACTCTACACAATGTGTTAAAAATGCAGTATATAATTTTAAACTTCCTATTTGACGACAAAAAAATTTGAAACTTCCCCAGTTCCTTCTGATGGTGCAGGAAGAGTTTTATTATTTGTCATCTTTAGTTTTGCAAAAGTATCAATTATCAATGATTTTATAAAGTCATGTACTCATTTACCTACGTACGTCATATCTTGTTTGGTTTTCTATTAGACTGTGAAAGGTGCAAAAATGTACAGTGCTTCTGTAGCTGCTACAACTGATGGTTCACTGGCACCAAAAGAGGGAGAAGAAAAGGTCAAGCTGCACACACATTCTTACTGTTGTCTGGATTATGCACAGGTCTGTTACTTTTTCCTTGAATGTTTCTTTTTTTGGGTTATATGTGGGGGCTTTTACTGCTGAGGGAGGGGGGAATCAAAATTATTTTTCCCTTTCCTTTGACAATATTTTAAAATTACTTGCTCGTCAAATCCTCACTTTTCTATTTATTGACACTGTCATGATGAAATTTGTTGCAGATATATGATGTGGTTAGGTACAGATTGCATCGCATGAAGAAGAAATTGAAAGATGAATTGGAGAACAAGAACACAGTTCAAGAATATCTATGTCCCAGCTGTGGAAAAAGGTTTTGGATGTTCATTGTAATTGCATTATCATAATTCTAATCATACTTGTTAATATGAAGTTTTTCGTCATAATATTTGAGAATTTGAATTATTTTAGATATAATGCCTTGGATGCTCTACGCTTGATATCTTTTGAAGATGAAGACTTCCATTGTGAAAGTTGTAATGGAAAACTTGAGGTAGAAATTGACAAGTTAGCTGCACAAGAAGGGGGAGATGCAGATGACAATGCAAGACGCCGCCGCCGTGAGAAGTTAAAGGACATGCTTCAAAATATGGAGGTTCTGTTATAGTTTTATTGTGGTGCTTATTTGTATACTTTTCATCATATGATGTGCCTGATAGAGCATAGTGATGCAGAATGGGAAGGAGAAATAGAGGAAATCAATAAATCTTACATTTGAAGGATCAATTCGGTATTTCAATAATCAAGGGGAGCAACTACAACTGACAAAACGGATAGACACATTTAATGGAATATATGTGATATTCTAACCCTAGATCTAGCATGCTGTTACAAAACTAAGCATAAGGTTTTATTCGAATGCCTTATTAAATTCTAAGTCAGCCCAACTGCCCCAAATTACGAATCCTAGCTGCTAAAATAATTATCAAATCTTTACATGATAAAATAATATAAAAAATACTTAATATTTAAAAAGATATTTAGAATTAGAATAGTGGAGACATTGGAATTGTACCTTCTTATGTGCAAGTCATGACAGATAACAGAAGTTTTTATCTTTTGTGAGTTCGCACAAGTCTCTTGTACCTTTCATGACAAGTGAATTTTATGACATTTCCACATCACTTGCCTAGATTCATCGGTGTTCCTCACCTAGGTATAGTTGTAATGAATGTTTCTTGACTATGGCACTGCTGGTGCACCATGTTACCTGGTTTCTGTCTAGATGCAGCCATTCATCATGAAACTGCATGTCAATGTCAGCTGATTTAACATATATGAAATGGATTGCAGGTACAGCTCAAGCCTTTGATGGACCAACTCATTCGTGTGAAAGACTTGCCTGTTCCAGAATTTGGCAGTCTTCAAGCATGGGAGGCTAGAGCTAGAGCTTCTGGGCTTGCAGCCAATGGAGACAACAGTATTGGTGATTCTAACATTTCTCATGGTCTGGGATATGGTGGGACGCCGATGCCTTACAGTGGAGATACTAAGGTAACATTTTCATGTTTGAGTTTGAGCGATATATCTTTTCATTTCACTTGGTTTTTTTTGTAAAAGGATGTGTCTTGTTATGGTTGCCCTGGTTTAAATTCTAGCATATATAACTATCAGTTCATAAATAGTGTTAATATGAGTAGTTTTGAAATTTAGTGGGAGCATTGATGATCAAGCATTTGGTAGTTAGACTACTGCTTGATTTTTATTATTCCAAATGGGCATGCAAAGCTTTTTTTTTTTTTTTTTAAATTTGGCCATCCGAAGCTTTAATAAACTTTAAGATAGCTGTTATGGTTGCCCTGGTTTAAATTGTAGTTTTTAATATAATTTTGATAATTGAATCTTTCAGTTCATAAATATGCGACTAGGTAGAGTGTTGATATAGGTAGTTTTGAAATTTATCGGGAACATGGATGATCCTTTGGTAGTTAGACTACAGCTTGCTTTTTATCACCTCACATTCACATGGGAGTGTAAAAAATTGAGATAATAGTATAAACATGGTGAAAGAGTTGCTTGCATATGCGTAGAACTCATGCACATTGTGATAGCCCCTCCCTCCTCTTCTATTTATAATAATTTTAAGATAGAATTTAATTACTCTGGATAAAGATAAGAGATATTATCCATTATGGTTTTAGCCAGTTACAAATAAAACCACAAAAGGGAAACATATCAAGGCTGGTACACATAAATATTGTACCCAATTTAAAATGAAAAATACCTATGTACAGCATTGTGGCTCACAACTCACAAGGTTGCTCTCTTGGTCTTGCACTCCGTGACTCAAGGAACTTCATAGCAACTAGTACTTTTATCGACAATGTCCTTGATAGAGAAAAATAGCAAGTTCCATAATATTATGACTTGCCTCCCATGAGTTGACCCTTAACATTCTCCCAATTCTCTTCTCGGCCATGTTGTCTAATCATTTTAGGTCCAATATGTCTTGTATATACTTTTCCTGCGTAGTTCCTTTTGCTTTCTCTCAAGTCTTCACTGCTTGGGTTGCTCACTGGGCACCCAATGCGAACGCAGCTTGAATGCTGAAATACTGAAGGCTTTGGTTCACTGCTTTTTTTTTTTAAATGGTCAAACAACGATCAAGGACAAGTGTTTGCTGAAGAAATTTTCCTGGTTTGTCAAAGTATGTTTAATTCATCAGAAAAGGGGTGGACATGACAGACTTGTTATGCATAACTTACATTCTTATATTGTCCTATGAAAAGGATATTTAATACCAATGGCTTTCTTTATTTGTAGTAGTAGGTTTTGTGTGTAATACTTTGTCAATTTAGTATGGTGTGACCGATTTTAGAAGATTTATGCGTTGTAGCAGAAAACTCATCTTTTAATGACCACTGTATCATATTGTCATGGTCAGACTTCCTTCTGTTGATTTTGGACTTGGACAATTTAAGTTCGACCTACTTTTTAGCAATCATTAAGATCTGATGTGCATTCAAATTGCGCAACATAGTGCAATTTCGGTGTAGTTTGGTTTCAACATTTGATAAACATTATGACTAGTGAATAAATCTGAATCACAACGCCTAGGTTTTTCTCAAGTTATTTCATTGTTATGTCTATGACATTGTTCAGTTTTGTGAAACCCTGATTCTGATAATTTGATTGCTAAGCAATCTATTACTGGATGTGACAGGTTGTAGTTGACTTTAATGGAGCGGAAGGCAAAGGAGAGGATATTAAGTCTGTAGCTGAAAGTACATCTCTAAAGGTTTTACCACCGTGGATGATAAAGCAAGGGATGAGTCTTACAAGAGAACAGCGTGGACAAGTGAAGCAGGAGACAAAGATAGATAGGGCTTCAACTTCCACTACAGCACAGTATTCAGATGACAAAAAGTCATCAGTTGAACAGGATGATAAAAAAAGCTTACAGGCTCGTACAATCAATTTAATGTTATTTTTGTTGATGTTATAGTTGGTTGTCACTTAATGTCTCTACCTCTGCCCCAAGAAAGTGTTAAGAATGACTATTCTTACTGTGATCTGTTTTTTGTCTAGTTATAGGATGAATACATCAAGGCTTATTATGCAGCATTACTCAGAAAACAACAAGAATTGGAAGAGGCTGCAAAAGCAAAAGAGCCATCATCAAGTACATATGCGTTTGAGGATCCTCTTGGTGGTACTGCACACCGTCAGGTCGGGATGAAATCAAAACGTGAGGAAGATGATGATACTGAATGGGAGGAGGCTCCAATTTCAGGTAACCATCAGTGTTTCTGATTTGATTAGGACCAAAATTTGAATGCTGACTTGAAATCTTACATAAATTATGGATACATCAACTGCTGATTTTTGCCCCCCAAAAAATGGTGCCCCTCCAAAGAAACAACCTGACAAATATATTAATTTAAATGTCACGCTTGTATTATATTGATGAGTTTTGATTATAAATTGTTTTATGGCATTGGGTGGTGAAAATTTGGTTGTCCTCTTGGTAATCTGAGGAGTCTTAATGTGAGAAATAACTCTACATAGTATGCACTGGAAGAACTATTATGTTTGGCACAGAGATTGGTTAGAGTGTCATTATGGTAATGACGGTGGTAGCTGCAGTTTTTAGGTCACGTGGCACAATAGCAGTGGGTGCTGCTTGTTATGAGCTGATGGATTTCTATGATAATGGTAGGATCGGAAAAACTCAATATCTTGTAGAAAATTTTGGAGGGTATAATTCTTTTGTTGAGGATCTAAATAACCTATGGAATAGGTGAGTGAGATATTCCCATATCGAATAATCATTAGAATCATGTTTGGAACTATTGACTAAATTATAAATCACTATGGCACCTGTGGGAGGATTCATCCACCTTAGTGATGGACCACACATAAAGTGTGGCTCACATAAAGAGAAAGAGGGCGTGCTTAAGGCCCAAGAGAAGCTAGTAGGCGTGCTAAGCCTAAAGGGATTCTACGAGTTCAAGTCTAATGTGCTCAAGGATCCATTACAAAGCATAAGAGGCTCAATGACAAGCCCGGACCAAAGCTATGAAAGAGGCCTTAATTGATCTCATTAAAGAAGTCCAAGAGCTTGAGCCCATGTTCTTTAATAAGCTTCATACATTCAAAAAATCTAATGAACAAGGTCTACACTTGCTTACAACATTAACAATTCATGTCCTTGAAGATGCAAACCCAATTGGTGACGATCCAAGCCTATTTAATTCACGATGTGTTAAATAAACTTGAGGGGTATTTTGGTCAAGAATGGGGCGCCATTTATGATCTGATTTGAAGAGGAGAAGGCTCCATTTATGATCATAAATGAGGAGAGAGAAGGTGTGATTTTCATCATATTTAAGCCTTCAATGTGAATTTGAATTGCTTCCTACTTTAGCCTAAGTTTGAATTTTAAGACTTATTGTTATGGAGGAGGACATTGGAGTCGAAAGGTTTTCGTCTGAGTAGAAGTAAGACGGAATATTTATATTGTAAATTTGGTAAAAGACTATTGGACAATAATTTGGAAGTGAAATTGGGAGATCAAATTATACCTCAAGTGGAAAAGTTTAAATATTTGGGAGCCATTATTCAAAATGATGGCGAAATCAGTGGAGATATTTCACATAGAATTCAAGCTGGGTGGTTTAATTGGAGAAAAGCTAAAGGAGTTATTTGCGACCGTAAAGTGCCTAATAAACTTAAAGGAAAGTTTTATCGCACTGCTATCAGACCGGCAATGTTATATAGTAGTAAATGCTGGGCTCTAACGGGACAGCAAGAGCATAAAGTTGGAGTAGCAGAGATGAGAATGTTACGATGGATGTGCGGACATACACGTAAAGATAAAATTCGAAATGAGCACGTACGCGAAAAAGTGAGAGTGGCACCTATTGAGAAAAAAATGGTAGTAGAAAATCGGTTGAGATGATTTGGGCATGTACAAAGAAGACCAAGGAGAGGCACCAGTGAGAAGAGTGGAACATATAACTTTGAGTCCAATTAAGAGAGGTAGAGGAAGGCCTAAGAGAACACTTTTGGAAGTTATTGAACGCGATCTGTTAATTAATAATATTTCTAAAAGCTTGATAAATGATAGAATACAATGACATCTTGCAATCCATGTAGCCGACCCCACCTAGTGGGATCAAGGCTTGTTGTTGTGTTGTTGTTGTTTATTGTTTTCCTTTTTTATTTTTAGCTTTAATTCTGATTCCTTTTTATTATTATGGCTTTATTAAGTGATTTGACTTAAGGAGCAAGACTTTAGTTATTAGGAAAATTTTTAAATTCTCTCATCTAACCATTATTGCTGAATCTCCAATAAATAAGAAATCTTCTTTTTTTGTCAAGGAGATGGTGCCATTATGGAGGGAGTCATCCAGGGTTAGGAATTTTAGAGTCTTCTATTGTCTTGCCTATAAATAGGCCGCCTTATGTACTCTTCTAACCAAGTATGAATGAGAATTTTCTCTTGAGTTTGATAAAACTCTGTGCGAGCTGTGCTTGCTTATGGGAATCTTGAGGTATGTTGGCGTGATCAAGAGTTGATATCAAGAGTTTGATCAACTCTTGTAGTGTCTCGAAGGTTAAGTTGCTAGAAGTAGGTGTTCTAATTTCCCTTTTTCTTGACCGTTATCATTCATTATCTTCATCTCTACATTTCTTTGTTCCAATTTTTATTTCCTATTTGTGTTTCGGGTTCTATCCCGAACTAGCACAATCCCGCTTCTGCCACCTTATCACTTAGCATTTGATGATAGTAGATTTTCCGCCTCATAGCCCCTCCTCCCCTCTACGTGGGTATATTATAGGATCTGGATTTGTGATATACATTTTTATGGATGTGCATTTTTTATACATTTTATTTGGGTTGTCTCTAGTTTTGAATTTGACGGATCTTTTCGTAGTTAAATATTAAGCCATCAGTTTTGTTAATATTTAAAGGATTGTTGTTATTTTTGAATTTTTCGTTTTTAAAATTTAAAATATACGTGCCGTAGAAGAGCCACATTATACGCCGTTTGCAAGTGGTGCAGTTCTCTGCCGTTTTTATATTTTATATTAATCTAATAAAAAAAATAAGATATGGATCTTTCAAATCAAATTATAAAATAGTTTAGATAAATATGCGCATCTTAGGGATGTGCACTGGAACCAGATGTGTATATCATATTGAGATTTTGGTGAGACCGCGTAACTTGTCCTGTCCATCACCAGTCAGTCCGGGTGGATCTTTTGCCCCTTGAACTGTGTCTGTCATGAGAAATTTGGAATTTGCATTAAACAATATATTGATGGTCCCTTTCTGAATTTTTTGGGTAAATTTTTCTCCTCCCTGTATTTGTTTTAGAAATGAGAGACAAGTCCTTGACAAAAATTTTTGAAAAATAAATTGTAAATATTGATACAGACAATTGTAAATAAAATCCTAATTAAAAATTGAGTCTTACGTTTAGAATTTAAATGATTAATTTGCAGTTGGAACTCTCGAATTTTCATCTATTTGAATTGATATGTGCAAGTTTTTTTTCAAAAATTTTTATCAAAGATCTAGTTATCGTTATTTCTATCTTCTGGAACTTAATTGTCATTCTTTCTATGTTTTAGTGGCTATCTTTCTGAGTCTAATAACGTGTGTTTGGGGCTGGATTTTAAAGGCAATGCAAATGAGAATTACAGGGTCAATGACTTGAATGTGGAAGCCGAGGCGACAGCAGATGACGAAGAGGACGATGATGTAGACTGGGAGGAAGGTTGATGTAAGTATCATGGTTAGCCTGAAATCACTTGTGGTCCTCCACTCATTTTGTGAAATCAGAGCTTATATTTAGCTGCTCTTGCGATGAAAATCCCAGAGCAATTGCCTCTCCGCCACCCTCCCCCTCAATGAAATGCTGATGCTTTCTTTTTGTGCGTTGCCTTGAATTTGGTTTATCATTTTTTTTTTATAAATATTTGGTTTATCATTTTACCTTTGTGGTGTGTTGTAAAATAAAATACGTGTTTGATTTTCAATTTGTTCAAAGTTTACTCCATCCATTTAAAATATAAGGCATTTTTTGAGGAGTTAGATGTTAAAAAATATAAGGTATTTTAAATTTTTTAAGATATAATCATTGTCTTTTTTTAAAAAAAAATGCCCTTATTGATAGTGACTTTATATTTATTATAAAGTGTTTAATGGAGGTAAATATGAAAAGATAGGGTTAGTTTGAAAGTAGGTAATTACTTTATTGAAAAATGAGATACGGTTAAAAATATCTTATATTTTTAAACAGAAAAAGTATTTAGTAAAAGTTGAAAGTTAGTTGTTATAATGATATTTATATTTGGATATATTTTTTTAAAAATCAATTTGATCAATTGAAAACTGTTTAGATTATATATAGTAAAATGTATTTTTAAATATATAATTTTAAAGAAATTAATTTATAATGATTTGTACTTTTTGTTATACAAATATATATATATATATTAAAAATGTGATAAAAAATTTAAATAACATAATAATATAAATTTTTTATTTTGAATAATATATAATAAAAATGTATAAAATAATGTGAAATTAAAAAAAGTTGTGAAAACATGTATAATAAAATAATGATAAATAATAGAAAACATTTGCTAAAGAAATGAGCTTTAAAGTAAAATGATGTCTAGTTTTGTCAACTAGTTGGGCAAAAGTTCATTTAATCAAGGTTAAAAGCGAGTAAGGGTTATATTGGCTAACTGGATTTTCAAGGATGTTTTAAATGTGATTCAAATGTACTTCTAATTTAATGATATTTTATCTAAACAACATTCTACATTTCCCAAATGTTGGAAGTCACAAAACTAAATGGGTCCAAAATTTAGGACTATTTGCATTTTAGCATGGAGAAAGCATCGAGGAAGTATCGTCATAGCTTTGTTATGTTCATTTTTTTTTTTTTAGCAAAGTCATTTGGCTATGCATCGTGGCAAATTGTAACAAGTTCTTCTGTACTGGGAGCCAAAAGCAATTTTTCTTTAGGTTCTAAACTGAAAACATGTGAATTAGTTTTTACTGAAGAGTCAGTAATAAATGCTGAGATTGTAGTGGATTTAAACATTTAATATATCTATTTTCAAGAATCTAGTATTGTTGAACAAGAAGCTCAACCTGTTATGATCGTCTATACTTTCTCTTGGCTGTGGGTGGTCTGTTGGTGGGCGTTTGATTACTGGAAGTCAGCTGCTATTCATCAGATCTCATATTGGGTGTGGATCAATGTGACTTGGCCATGAAAACAGATGTCCAAGGATAGTAGTTAGTTTTTTTTCAAACTTGGCATGGAATAGAGATGTTCAAGTTGTTTCATATATATATATATATATATATATAAGAGATGTTCAAGTTAAAGCATGGTGCTAATTTTACTGTGATAAGTTTAAGGTTTTAGTGTCGTTTTGTTGTTATGGTAGCCCTTATTTGTCATTATCCCATGTATAGTCAACCCTCTATGTACGCACAATAATATTCTCTCCAGTCTCTATCTACTCCTCTGGTTCTATTCACATTAAAGGAGGGATTAATTTTAATTTTATTTATAGGACATTTTACTTTTTTTTTGGTTTCTTTTTACCTTTGTACTATTATTAAATGCTAGGAAAAATAGTAAAGATAACTTTTTTTTTGTTTTTATTAGAGATAAAAGGAAAAACTTATTAAATTTTAATATAAAGTTAATAAGATTTAATATTTTTCTTAATTTTGGTGAAACATCCTAAAAGTAAATTATAAATAGGATTAGGGAGAGTACAAGAGAATTGTTGGACTTATTTTATATCAAAATATCAGAAAATTAGAAGAAATTATATTTTTCCTTTCATTAAATTATTATGAATTAATTAAGGTGTGATATAAAGAAGCACTCTATTTCAAAAATGAAAATATTAAAAATAGTGATATATAAAATTTTATTGAATTAAATTGATACAATTTTATTAGACAAAGTATGCATGATATGATGTACTAGATCCATATAAAAATTTCTCCCTTGTTCATTGTCACAACAAATTGACAATCAAAAGAAACATGATTAGTATTTAATAATGCAGCATTAAAATTTGTGAGAACAAAAGGAAGAAAGAGCCCAGAGGGCATGTTTTCACATGCCCACATGACAGAAACAGATGGCTTTTGCATGAAGTTCGCATAAATCAGAACAATAATACATTTTTTTTTTTAATTTGGAAGACGGTAGATCATAAAGTGTAATTGCAGTAAGTGTTTTGTCCAATGCAACTTTCCTGCATTTTGGATTTACTCCCTCTGGTATATAATGTAAGGTATTTTTTAAAAATCTTGTTTAATCCAAAATATAAAATATTAAGTAATTTTTATAATTTTTTTTAGAATCTCGGTTAAGGATCGCAATAGAGACTCAGTTACAAGTAAATTTAAAAAAAATTTAAAATTTTAATTTAATTCAAGAGAGAAAAGTCAAAATAATTTTGACAGTAAAAAGACCAAGATACCCTTTATTTATCATGCAAAATTATTAGTTGCTAATTTTCTTACTCCATTTGTTAATCTACACATATGAGTTACAAATTATATGAGTTGGCATGTCAATAGTTATATAAAACTTGGCATTAGTTGTTCAATCATAAGTAACAATATTATTTGTCAAATTACTAACTTTACTTATTAATTTACTAACATAAAGTGTAAAGTACTGACATGTCTTATGATTTATTAATATCAATTATAAATTACTGACGGGTTCTGTAATTGACAATTAATATTAATAAATTAATAAGTAAAGTTAAAAAATTAACAACTAATTATTAATTGTGTGACTAACAGATGTAATTTAGAAGTAATATAGGTAAATTAATAAGTGCAATAAGAAAACTAACAACTAGTGATTTTGTATATCAAGTGAAGGGTATTTTGATCTTTTCACTATTAAAAGTCTTTTGACTTTTTTCTTTTGAATTAAATTGAAATTTCAAAAAAAATTTGGACTCACCTGAAATTAAGTCTCCACAATGGCCCTTAATTGAAATTCTCCCTTTTCTAACTATACCCTTGCTCAATTTTTTTTTTTTGGGAAAAAATTAAATCAAGCTTATCAAGTTTTTGGAGGTGGGCTCAACCCACTAATTAGCCAAATTGTGGTGAGTTGGGTTGGCAAAAATAGACTTATTTAAATGCAGGTTTATTTTAGTTCACATGGCATAATCCAAACTCATAGCAGGTTAACTTGTGGATTAGAAGGTTAGCTTGCTTATTTTTTTTGTTTTACTCCATCTTATCTTACCTAGCTAATTAAAAAAAAGGTTGTTGATTATTAAAACCAAATAAATATTTATGTTTAATGAGCTTATTTTTTATTGATGAAAGCTCTCAAACTTACTTAGCCGTTATCTAAATTTGAGCAAGTTCACTTTAAGCTATGCTTTAGATTTATTAAGTTTGCATGTTTTTCTAGTTAAAAAATAATTTTTAATCAATACAAATTATAAAAAATGGTAACATAAAATAATGAAATAAAACTTGAAGAACAGGGGTAGGTGGTCCCAGATACATCCTAAATGATAAAGTTAAGATTATTAAATATTTTAAATAGAAAACCTTGTATCCTGTGATGTTTGTAAAACAGCTTTAATTGTGGCAAAAAAAAAAAAAAAAGAAACAACTTTAAGGTAAGGTGACAGTTTGTGATTATCAGCTTCAATCATTAATTGGCCACATGTACGAGATGTATAATTTAGAGGGTGAGGGCTTTAGAATAAACTTGTATTATGTAATGTGTGGATTTTAAAATACTAAACTTTTTGTTATGTTTATTGATTGTGGCAGATATTTGATTATATTTGAAATTTGTAACATGTTTTAATAATTTAGAAGTAGTTTTGTTTTTATTTGAAACATGTTACTTGATAGATTTGCTTTTTTTAAAAAAAAATAATTATATTAATGGTGAGTTGACTTGCCAATGTTGGGGAAATACCAACTTGTTAGGAAGCAAGTTTTTCCAACTTGCACTCGTGGCAAGCCAACTCACAACTTGCAAGTTAATTTATATTAACAGTTTTATAAGTTTTTTTTAACCTGAATGCATGCTTGTTGCAACAAGATCAACATTTGGTATAATTTTTCATAGGTGATGGACTTGTTGCATCAAGCATACATTCATATATTGATAAGTAATTATAAGTAATTAACAAGTGGCAGTTCAAGATTCCTTTTAATAGGGTTTTTTTTTGTTTTTTCTTAAATCTTATTTTCATTTAGGTCCTTTGGGTGTCTTGAGAGAATTCAAAATTTTAGGATCCCTTTTTGCTAATAATATGTTCTAGATAGGGCCCTTGAGTGTGATTTTCTCTATTTAATAAGAATATAATTGAAAAGATGTACCATTTTTAAAATATTAAAATTTCAACTAATTTTTTTTTATAATCTGAAATAATTACTATTGTCCTATATTGTGTACCAGATACATTAGTTAATTGACTATTAATGTGATGAAGCACCCATGCCAAGTGCCAACTTCACAAGTTTGTGTTGTTTATTTTCAAATAGTAAGGTCCCCCCGGACTTCCAAAATGAACATTCAACGTCAAGCCAAGTTCCTCACCCTCTCCCTCTTTCTTACAAGCTTTCCATAATGGTCATAATCAATGCAATTTTAACACTTTTTTCTTACAAAACTCTGAAAACAATAAAAATAACTCATTTATCTTTTCATAAAGATCCCAGCAATATCCTCACTGGATAAACTCTCTCTAGGTTATTTTAATGCCTAACTTGTCAAGAATTTAAACATAGGCTAGTCCTTGTTCTGGTCAAATGGTCATAATAATGTGTGTGCGTGTGCATTGGTTGACTTTGACAAAATGATACTTGCTCGAATGCAAAGGAAGCATCGTTGGAAGAAAAATTCTGGACAATTTTCCCCTCTCCGCAAATAAAACCTTTATTAGCGCATATATATATATATATATATATATATATCAGAATCAAATTTTCAAGCTTCAGAGTCTTG